CTACTTTGTCGTATGTCGTCTCTGGTTCGAGGTCTTCTTCCAATTCCGGGTAGTTCTGTTATCGTTCGGAATATTGGCTCTGATCTATTGAGTCGTAGAGACATTTCGATTAAATTATCGTCGTATAACATTTTGTAAATGTTTTGTCTAAATTCTAATCTATTATTGGTTAATTCTAAGCTATTAAGGTCTTGTTCGAGACTTATGGTCGCACCAGATGAGTTAGGACCGATGGGTATAACTCATAGAGTAATTTCGGATAGGGTACACCGTCTGCTCGTCACGCTATCTTATTTTCGGCCGGATAGATTCGTGCAACTTCTTAGTCTAATACCGATCCTAATCTTACTCTTATACTATCTAGTCTCAGGTTGTTTAACTAGTCTCTGCTAGGCTCAATAGATCTAGGGTATACTGGTTTATTGCGGTTGCTGAAGTCTTCTTGGAGAGTCAACTAATTTCTAAGTTAAATTCAAATCTCTCTGGTGCTGAAATTACAAGTAATTTCAGCACTTACAAATAAGTGGATTGTTAGTTAGATGGATCATGATTGGTTAATATTAAATACTTTACATTGGTAAAATATCTAATTTATCCAATCATAAAATGTAGTTTAGATCAGGTTCCAAAAACCTGCTTGCGTTACTTTATTTCCCCATTACAATGATGAGTATAAAAAAAATCGAATACTACCCATTATTCACGAAGATCATGTGAAGGACAAAAAATCCTGAAACAATTCAATTAACTTACTTGAAGCTCTAAAAGTTCTTTCACAATTAAGACAACAATTTTGCTTTTTTGACAAAAAAAACATTTGTCGCATTTTAATTTTGAATTTTCTACAACCGAAATAAAGAAAAAGACACTGATTTTCATGGGAAGTAACCAAAAATCAACTCGCCACTGAAGATGAAGAGCAAGAAAAGGACAATCCAACTCCTGAATCTCCCAACATAGACGAAGCTGGAAATGGAAATCCAAAATCAGAAACAGACTCCCAAACTAACGAGGAAATGGAGTTTAAATAAAGTTTAATTATTGAAAATTATTTTTCCCTTGTTGTGTGTCTTGACTTTTTTATGTCTGTTAGAAAAATAAATCAATTGGTAAAAGTCAATTCTCACATAGAATCAAGAAAATTGTAGAAAAAATAGAAAAAATCACTGAATCGTTTTTAAAAAAATTTTTTGGGTAGTTTTCAACTATTTTACGAAATCCACTTTCTGCAAACAAACACTAATTTGATTTTAAGGGCACCAAAAATTATTAATTTTGAGATTTAAAATTTTATTAATTTTTCAACAAACTAACTCAAAATTAACTCAATTGCCACCAAATACTTTCTGCTATTTCATTCCTTTTTTCTCAAAGAATCCAGTTTTGCCCGAGCACGATGAGCCCCATCCACCAAACCAACCACAACATCAACAACAACAACAAGACGCAGTTAGCCCCACGGGTCCCGAAACAAACAACGACAGCACAAATCCGACGCCAACTGCAACCATAAAAACGAACAAAAAAGTAAGCAATGGTTTTCTAGTTTTTCAAATGCATGCATTTAATACCATTCGATTATTTCCTATCGTCCGTCAAACTCAGCATTAATAAACATTTTTACAAAAAGACGAAACTGCACTTCGCATAGACATGCAAAAAAAACAACAAGTACTTTAAAAAAATCGACTGTTTTGTGTACTGAAGGTGAAACGAGCCAAAAAGAAGCCATCATTGCCTAGCCAGCCCCCACCCAGCTACTCAGCCGCAACTGCACAGAGGGGGGCTAGTCAGTCTCTCGTGACTCATCCTAGAGGGTCGTCTCCTTGGGGTGGGAATGCAGGAGGGGCGGGGGCGGCAGTTGTGTTTCACGGTCAGGTGGTCGAAACTGCAGACGGCAGACAATTTATGGCTGTACATGCAAGTGGAGTTGAAATGCACAATGGACAGGCTGTAAGGTAACTGATCAGAGAATCTTCAATATTTACTGTCAGTAACTGACTTGTTGATATATTTCCTTGTTTTAAAGCGGAGAGAACATCCTACTGTCTAATGCAAATAAAACGCTATATAACCGCACAAAAAATGAGATACTAAATAAATATCAAGTTATCAAATTAAATAAAGCAGTTGCGTTAGAAAAACAAAAAAAATGATTCGAGCAATAAAGCAAGCAACCAACCAATAATCGGATGATTTCAGGCCGGAATCATAAATTTTTGAAAGCGCGTAAATCTTCAAAAATGATATGGAATTTTTTTAGATTGAATAACCTGATTCTACCCGATGTTTCAAATTACTAAAAAAACGTTTGCACCCATACCGGAATTTAAAATCGTTTTGAGTAGTTTGAACTGGCCGAAAAATGGCAGTTTTTTTTCTAGGGCAATCCACCCTCAATTATTGTTTATACTGTCAACAATTCTATGCCAAACGATTTTGAAAGAAAAACTTTTTATTCAGATTTTTAACGCCTTGCCCACAAAATTCGTGATTGGTTTATGTTAAACAAAGAAGAACAAAACAATAATTTCTGCTGACATGTTCAGCCTAAATACAAGGAAAGAGCTGAAACAGATAAAAATCACTTGTATGTTTTGAAAACCACTCTTGTTCACTGATTACTGCTACATGGGCTCGACTGACCGTTTAGCGCTCAATCAATACTATTAGTATGCCGAAGGCTTGAATGTATGGAGCATATTTAGTAGATGCAGCAACCGCTAAGTGAACAAGTTCGTTTTGTTTTTGAAACCGAATAGGGGTGGGTGCCTACGACTAACGATTTTCAGGAATTTTGGTTGCTGGACATCAAATTTTTCACGTTCAACTTGAATTGACACCAGCGGATATAGAACCTTTGCGTATATAATGAATACAAAGCTCGTACCATGGGTAAATAACGTGTCTAGACACTGTCACATTTCCGCTGGTTTCTGTTTATTGACACTGTCACCTTTTTTCTAAAATTTTCTGTTCTTTTTGAGTGCATTTTTCTGAAATTTTGAAGATGTTGAATGTCGCAATTCAATCGATACAACGAGCATCGTTTCGCAATCCAGGTCGATCCGTCAGCAGTTACCTCATGATATCTGATGCTTCATGTTAAGAGTTTTTTGCGTAATTCTTCTTCGTTTTCAGCAGAGGTGCATTTTCAAAAAGTTTAGGGCCTGTATAAAATGAGAAAATGTTCAATAGTACCATGGGTTTATTCAATGCCTCCCTCTTACAAGTTTCTTTGAATAACTCGGCTTAACTAGCCCGAAAATTAATTTGAAATTTGTATGATAATTTAAAATTTTTTGAATTAACTTGGAAATTAATTACAATTCACCTCGAGGTGTAATTTACCAAAAAAACGCCAGTGACAAATGTTATTAAATAAGGCAAGAATTACACAAAACTGATACCAAAAGAACAATTACCATATAAAACATAGCCAACTGGCAGTTGGAAAAGAGTAATGAAGCAAGTAAACAGAAAAAAAACATTGACTTTGCTGAAAAAATCTCAACTTTCGAATTTCAAAGAAAAAAATAGATGCCCTTTAAGCTCTTTGAATTTCTAGAACAAATTGTTATTGGCGATTTTTGATAACATCAACCCAACTTGAGAAAACTGAATCTATAGGTAAAGTTTTTATTCGACTAGAAATTTAAAAATTAAATTACACTTTCGAAACTAGAAATAGTTCACGTTTTTTCGCCATTTCCATGTTCATATTTCGAGAGTGCTATTTACGTCAGTTTCAGCAGACAGATGAATTTTAATTGAACTCAAAAAAGGATAAATACCAAGGAAAAACAGCAAGACCTATACAAGAGTCTTCACTACGTTCATCACTCTTAATAATGTCAAAACTAAATATATTATAAATCATATGAATAAATAATTAGCTTAACAACAAATGTGTGTTTGTTCTTTTTCAAACTGTCCATAGGTACAACGTGCAAGTGGTCGGACAAGTAGACGGTGGCAACCCCCATAGAAGGTCAACGACCCCCATTCAACACCACCCCCACCCACACGCCCAGTCTCATCATCATCATCATCAACAGCCAACAGTGCGAATAAGAAAAGGATCGAACAAAGGCTCAATGAAGCGAATTCAGTATTGAAATTACAAACCATTATGTTTTCAGAAATTCATCAGTTGATCTCAAATTTGAAAACTCACGTCTGCATTTAAAAGGTGCTTCAAAAATTTATCAATTTCACTTAAGGTTTTTTTAAAAACTCATGTGTACTTATTGCTTTTTTATAAGCTAAAAGAATACATTTAAAATTTCACATCTGCGTTTAAAACGCGCTTTGAAAAATTATCAATTTCCATTGTGTATTAACTTTTTGCCTTGAAAAGTAAAAACCAAGACAAAAACCACTTGGAGTACAGCAAAGACGTAATAATACCAAAGCAAATATAGATTAAAATGTAGGTAGAGAAAAACAACGCCCGCTTAAATTCAACCATCAATTTATGATTCAAAAGGACTAAGATTCCGCGAGCAACAAAAATTAAGCCGCAACACGTTGACAATGAAATAAGGCGATATGTCAGAAAATCAATCCATCATCAAACCTAAAACGCATTATCAATTAGGTAATCACATGAATTGAAGACTGAGATTTGTAAAATATGACAATTTGTTTAAATGTGGTTCTTGCGAAAAAAAATAGTGTTTCGTTTCAAATTTTTTTATAAGAAAAGTAAATAAAATAAATAAATTCGATCACGAGTAATCCATTATAATTTTGATCATATTAATTGTCTCAATAAATTTAAATTCACACTAAGAAGTGGTACTTAAACAATTTCTAACAATTAATGTGGTAAAAATGGCTAATGAGTCACTCTTCGCGAATTCGTATTTTCTGGAAAAACTCAATTGTAAAAACATTACATTCTTCAATTGATGTAATTGTTGCGTAATTCGCTTGGCTTGTCTGGTAACTAAATAAAAATTCGGTTTACTGAACACAATTCAAAATTAAGTACTCACTCAGTAGAGGTCATGAGGCCCCTGGATATGAACACATTGAGTAGAACAATGACCCCTGCCACATTTTTGTCCAGGATGGGGAGGGAATCCTGCTGGTAATAGAACAACAGGTGGTTCTTCAGTCTAAACACACAACAAAAAGTCTTAAATCACGACATTTTGCAGACAAAATATTTTTGTATGAGTCAGTGTGAAGTGTTTTTAACGGATTCGCCTTTACGCAAAAATGAAAAAATTATGCTCCTATACAAGGCTATGTAAAATAAGTTCACGTAATAACTTATGCATTTCAAAAAAATTGAAAATTGATTTTTTTGGATCTTTTTTTGGCCCAATGTATTTTATGACCAAATCGGCTGGTCAAAACCTATGGAGCGTGTACAAGGTGCCTTGAATGACCATCTATGGCATGATAGCCGCACATTCACTGTAAGAGGCATATGATCGAATATAGGCCAGGATACAGTCATTTACTTTCAGCCTAATTGTTGTGGAACATTGGCTCGTTATAATATCAGATTTACCATCCTTTTCTTTTTTGAGATTTAACTGTAGATACCGTTTCATTGCTCTTCTCACTTAATCTATTTTGGACATGGCTGCTAGTCAATCGGATACTTTCTCGGAAGTTCTTGTAGAGGGTACTGCAAAACCTCATACTTAAGTTACATCCTTCCTAAAAATGACTACCTTTCCTCCCTTAACGAAGGATCATTTCAAATCGAATGCTGCCTTTGAAGCAGCCTCAAACAGTCTAATGTTGACATCTCGTCCTCTTTTAAACCAGATCATCGAGATAAAATTACTATCTCCAATGCTTTCTCTGCTGTGAAAGAAAAAAAGACTACACTCTTTGATCGTTATCGCTCCAACAGAGGCGGAGGACGACCTGGCTACAATGAAGACAGAAGGACTGCAGCACCTTGAGAAAACCATTTTTCCAACTGGTGACCACTTCTAGCGATACGACCCAACAGGAATTCCAAAGACTGTCATGCTAGGCATGAACCAAGTGCCCGGACTTTGCGACGAAGAGGCAGTCCTCGAAGCCCTGCAGCAACAGTTCATTTGGAGGGAGAAGTTATGGTCAGGGGAGCTTTTTCAATGGTAAAGCTTCAGCAACCATCAGAATCCCCAACGAGAGCGCCGAAACCGACCTGAGGCAGTGGTCATTCAACGATGTCAACACTCGCCATTCAATTTACCCTTTAAGCTCGATTTACCCTTTAACGCTCATGTTCCATCAAAACGTTTCTGCAGTCTATGCAAGGAAGAGAAGAAGCTTTACTTAGGACATGATGACTCCTGGTGCCGAATCGAGAGACATGAACCACAAAAGGTCACACAGACGGCAGCTGATGTGGCCACAAACAAATCTACTGATGGGACTCCGACCTCTGAGAGCCGAATGGATGTGAAGGACTGGCACGTGATGAAGGCGCGCAGTAGCCTCAGAAGGAGTGGGGCGTTCAGCCGCCAGAAGTCACAAAGACCGCACAGCAGCCCAGACGCGGAGAAGCAGACTCCCTCAAAACTGCAAAAAAGAGACCAACAGGTATAACATATAAACTTACATAATGTCGTGCTTTAATTTTCTAAATAAGAGAAGTTTCACTGGCAAGCTGAAACCTCTAGGCATCCTTGTCTCAATACGAAAGCCAGAACATGGGAAAAAATCGTATAATTACTACATTTTAGGTCTAAAGCTTAAAAAGCTGGACGTCCTAACTTCTAAAAAACAATCTCTCTCTACAAGATGCCTGGATTTTAACACCCAGACATGCAGTTTGCATAGTTCAGCACTATTGACTACTTCTTTCACCATAGGTTGGAAATTTCACACGGTTTTTGAAAGTCAAATTGCTTTGACCTTTATAATTTTCAACTTCTGCAAAGTTTGTTGCAAGGTATTTGTCAATCGCCTCAGCAAGGCCTTATCAGACCTTCTTGGTCTAACCAGTTATTTGACCGAACAGCGGAGAGACTAGATTAGTTTCGTGGGGCTGGGAAATGCAGGACATCACTTAACGATAGATTTAACCTTGACTTACATCGTCATTACGGCTGAAATGAAAATAGTAACTTTGCTTGCGAATTACATAGGACAAATGTATAATTTAGTCAAGACGTTCCTGTTTTCAGTAAGTCTAAGAGGTTATAGAGATCATCTCAAAACGAATGGTATCCGTATTGACTTCAGCAAGCCAAAGTTTGAAAGAAAACTTCGTCGTGACTACGTTATAACGTTTCCAGAATCAAAATTGTATGTATTAAGCTTAAAGCAAAACGCCATTTTGATAAACTATAAACTGTATAATTAACTCCAAACTTGCAGCCTTTACAAGTTAGAAAAATTGATTTCATTATTGACCAATAACTGGAAGACTCAGTGATTTTACCGAAGCCAAAACACTTCAACTCTGACATCGTCAGAATCCGGCAGCATTTACTGCTCTATATATAACAATCCCCTCAGCAAGGACTGGTCAGTCTTTACTGGCCTAGCAAGTAAGCTAGCTAAGCAATGGGGAGATATAGTGATTTTGGTGGTGGTGGTGAGATAAAACCCGATCAGGTCCTTAGTCATAGAACCCCAACTAACATCAGAAAAACAGCTATGTTTAACTATTCAAAATCGCATGCAAAATTATTTCTGACAAATTTATAATCTGGTCAAGACGTGCTTTTATACATTGAATTGCAGAGGACTAGGAGATCACCTAGAGCTTCTAGGCATCCCGATTGATCTAAATAAGCTAAAACCTGGGGGAAAATTACGTCATGACTACATTATAGAGTTACAAGAATCGAAATTATATAAATTAATCTCAAAGCCTAAGGCCATTTTGACCAGTATTAAGATAAATCATTTAAACCAGCCATGCAGCCATAATAATTCAGGAGGTTTACTTTTTTTGTCAATTCCCAATAAATGGAAAATTCAGAGTTTTTACCAAAGCTAAATGGCTTTAGCACTGAAAAAATCAGAATCCGGCAGCCTTTCTGCTCTATTTTTTTAAATCCACTCAGCGAGGACATTTTCACTCCTTTCTGGCCTATCTATCAAATTAGCCGAGCAACGGAGAGATATAAGGATTTTGGTTGGGCGTGATTTACACAGCCGATCAAGTACTGAATTATACAATCTCGACTTACAACATAGTGACCGGCGAATTCAAAGATACAACATAATTTGCAACATATTGGAGACAATTAGATGTTTTGACTTTCAAGATCGGGAACAAAATGTATCCCATCCAATTTGACCAAAAATCGAAATCCCAACCCCGTCTAGACTACATTTTTAGCCAGAAAAATTGACAAAGTAACGAACTTCAGTACATTATACACACATTACGGCAACCACAAGGCACTACAAGCAGTTTTTCAAATTTTTAAGATTTGATACATGTAAATGAGCAAAAATTTTGAAAATTGAATTATAACGTAGTAAGAGAGCACAATAAGCCATTAGAACTGGAAGAAACACCTCAGGGACTGTCTGAGGAGTCTCCGAAACTGCCATTATCAGGGACAGACGACAAATTTAAAGCCAGACTTCGGGACTGTTTGCGTTTTTTATTAAAAGTCATAGAACTTTGAGTAGAAACAACGAACCCGTTTCATAAAGTAGTGCTCTTGCAGATATCAAACCTGTAGTTTCAGAAACAACCTCCGGACGTATTTCAAAATTAAATAAAATAGCGCGCCTGGATCTGATGGTCTTACTTCAGATTTGCTTCAGTGATCATTTCAAATCGAATGCTACCTTTGAAGCAGCCTCAAAACAGTCTGCTGTTCACATCTCGTCCTCTTTAAAACCAGATCATCGAGATAAGATTACTATCTCCAATGCTTTCTCTGCTGTGAAAGAAAAAAGACTACACTCTTTGATCGTTATCGCTCCAAAAGAGGCGCAGGACGACCTGACTACAATGAAGACAGAAGGACTGCAGCTCCTTGAGAAAATCATTTTTCCAACTGGTGACCAGTTCTGGCGATAGGACACAACAGGAATTCCAAAGACTGTCATGCTACGCATGAACCAGGTACCCGGGCTTTGCGACGAAGAGGCAGTCCTCGAAGCCCTGCAGCAACAGTTCATGTGGAGGGAGAAGTTATCGTCAGGGGAGCTTTTTCAATGGTAAAGCTTCAGTCACCATCAGAATCCCCAACGAGAGCGCCGAAACCGACCTGAGGCAGTGGTCATTCAATGATGTCAACACTCGGCCATTCAATTTACCCTTTAATTTACCCTTTAACGCTCATGTTCCATCAATTCGTTTCAGCAGTCTATGCAACGAAGAGAAGAAGCCTTACATAGGACATGATGACTCCTGGTGCCGAATCAGGAGACATAAACCACAAAAGGTCAAATAGACGGCAGCTGATGTGGCCACAAACAAATCTGCTGATGGGACTCCGACCTCTGAGAGCCGAATGGATGTGAAGGACTGGCACGTGATGAAGGCGCGCAGTAGCCTCAGGAGTGAGGCATTCAGCCGCCAGAAGTCACAGAGACCGCACAACAGCCCAGACGCGGAGAAGCAGAATTCATCAAAACTGCAAAAAAAAGCGACCAACAGGTATCAAACAGTCCTAAACCCTCTAACATATAAACTTTACATAATGTCGTGCTTTAATTTTTTAAATAAGAGAAGTTTCACTGGGAAGCTGAAACCTCTAGGCATCTAACTTAAAAAGCTAGACGTCCTAACTTCTAAAAAAACAGTCTCTCTCTACAAGATGTCTGAATTTTAACACCCAGACATGCAGTCTTAAAGATTGGTTTCATTCCATAAAATGATTACTTTCACGGTGAAATATGTTATAATTGACTTTCACATCTCGAAAACTTTCACATCTTTGAAAGAAAATCGCCTCCATTCTCTAATCGGTGTCGCTTCAATAGAAGTAAAGGACGACTTAGCTGTGATGAAAACAGATGGACTGGAGGTCCTTGAGAAAACTATATTTCCAACTGGCGACCACTATTGGAGGCAAAATCCAAATGGATATCCGAAAATAGCGATGCTACACTTTAACCAAGTGATTGGTCTTGTGATGACGCCAAAGTCTTTGAGGCACTGGATAAATTTTGAGACTTTGGATGTTTTGAACTT